GGCCCCGCCCCGGGGGGTCATTGATTTTCCCTATATGCATATAGTAAAAACTTAAAAAATCTTCTTTTAAAAAACCATAAGAGCTAGAGCTTAGATATTTGGCATGAAACATCTTCTAGTGAGTGTCTACCAAGTTTGTTCAAATAAAAGCCCTGGGGTCAAAATTGGCCCCGCCCCAGGGGGTCATTGATTTTCCCTATATACATATAGTAAAAACTTAAAAAATATTCTTTTAAAGAACTCAAAGAGCTATGGCTAAGATATTTAGCATCAAACATGTTCTAATAAGTGTCTACCAAGTTTGTTCAAATAAAAGCCCTGGGGTCAAAATTGGCCCCATCCCAGGGGGGTCATTGATTTTCCCTATATGCATATAGTAAAAACTTAAAAAATCTTCTTTTAAAGAACCAAAAGAGCTAGAGCTAAGATTTTTAGCATGAAACATGTTCTAATAAGTGTCTACCAAGTTTGTTCAAATAAAAGCCCTGGGGTTAAAATTGGCCCCGCCCCGGGGGGTCATTGATTTCCCTATATGCAAATAGTAAAATCTGAAGAAATCTTCTTTTAAAGAACCAAAAGAGCTAGAGCTAAGTTATTTAGCATGAAACATGTTCTAATGGGTGTCTACCAAGTTTGTTCAAATAAAAGCCCTGGGGTCAAAATTGGCCCCGCCCCAGGGGGTCATTGATTTTCCCTATATGCATATAGTAAAAACTTAAAAAATCTTCTTTTAAAGAACTCAAAGAGCTATGGCTAAGATATTGAGCATCAAACATGTTCTAATAGGTGTCTACCAAGTTTGTTCAAATAAAAGTCCTGGGGTCAAAATTGGCCCCGCCCCGGGGGTCATTGATTTTCCTTATATTCATATAGTAAAAACTTAAAAAATCTTCTTTTAAAGAACCAAAAGAGCTACAGCTAAGATATTTAGCATGAAACATATTCTAATAAGTGTCTACCAAATTTGTTCAAATAAAAGCCCTGGGGTCAAAATTAGCCCCGCCCCGGGGGATCATTGATTTTCCCTATATGCATATAGTAAAAACTTAAAAAATATTCTTTTAAAGAACTCAAAGAGCTATGGCTAAGATATTTAGCATCAAACATGTTCTAATAGGTGTCTACCAAGTTTGTTCAAATAAAAGCCCTGGGGTCAAAATTGGCACCGCCCCGGGGGTCATTGATTTTCTTATATGTGTATAGCAAGAACTTAAAAAATCTTCTTTGAAAAAACCCAAATAGCTAGAGGTAAGATAAAAAGCATGAAACATCTTTTAGTGAGTGTCTACAAAGTTTGTTCAAATAAAAGACCTGGGGTCAAAATTGGCCCCGCCCCAGGGGTCATTGATTTTCTTTATATGTGTATAGCAAAAACTTAAAAATCTTCTTTGAAAAAACCCAAATAGCTAGAGTTTAGATATTAAGCATGAAACATCTTCTAGTAAGTGTCTACAAAGTTTGTTCAAATGAAAGCCCTGGGGTCAAAACTGGCCCAGCCCCAGGGGTGTCATTGTTTTTAACTATATGTGTATAGTAAAAACTTAAAAAAAAATCTTCTTTCAAAAAGCCCAATGAGCTAGAGCTTAGATGTTTAGCATGAAACATCTTCTTATGGGTGTCTACCGAGTTTGTGCAAATAAAAGCCCTTGGGTTAAATTGGCCCTGCAACGTTGGGGGGTTGGGGGGCCTATATACAGGTGAGCGACCTCAGGGCCATCATGGCCCTCTTGTTGTTTTAAAAAATGAAAAACGGATGATCTTTTTTTAGACCCATTCAGGCCTCTACAGTTCAGAGATAAGACATTTATATTACTTTCAACCATATTGAAGTAATGCAGAAAAAATAAAAGAGATAAGTTAAAATATAACCAAAAAACATCATTAACATCATGGCCGATTGCGTCTCACATACAATACCAAAAAACGAATACACAACAAAAAATACTTGAATTAATATTTCAAAAAGGTTTGACAATAAACCTCTTTTAACCATTTAACGTTTGTACTATTCTTAGTTTTATTTAGGCTGCTAGGCTGTTAGGCTGTTAGGCTGCCAGGCTGCTAGGCTGCTAACTTTACAAATTTCGAAGTGTCAAAATGAAAAAATAAACATAGTTCAAAATTGAAAAAAAAGTACGCGATACTGAAATAAGACATGGAATGGACTAAGTATGTGCTACCAATTCATTTCCGACGGTTTTCATGTTTGTACTATCCTGCTAGGCTGCTAGCTTTACAAATTTCGAAGCGTCAGAATGACAAAATTATGTTAAGATAAAGTTCAACATCTTAAAAAATAAAGATCACGATATTGAAAAAGGCGTGGAATGATCTAAAGAAGTGTTACTTATGTATTTCCGACGGTTTTCACGTTTGTACTATTCTTAGTTTTATTTAGTCTGCAAGGCTGTTAAGCTGCCAGGCTGCTAGGCTGCTTACTTCACTAATTTCGAAGTGTCAAAATGAAAAAATAAACAAATTCAAAGTTGAAAAAATATAAAGTACGCGATACTGAAATAAGACATGGAATTGACTAAGTATGTGCTACCAATTCATTTCCGACGGTTTTCATGTTTGTACTATCCTGCTAGGCTGCTAGCTTAACAAATTTCGAAGCGTTAGAATGACAAAATGTTAAGATAAAGTTCAACATCTTAAAAAAAAATATCACGATGTTGAAAAAGGCGTTGAATGATCTAAAGAAGTGTTACTAATGTATTTCCGACGTTTTTCATGTTTGGTGAACATGTTTATAATCACATCCGTGTTATTTGTGCCGTGCGGCGGCTGTAAAAAGTCTCCCCAAACATTTAACCAATGATGTTATATTTTCAATCCTTGAAGATCGTTCAGCACGACATTATTGTTGTGCTTGTGGTGTTTTTAGTTTCAACTTTTCGGCATTTTCTAGTTGGGTGGTTTCAATATTCTTACTTGAATAATGTTGAATTACCTTTAGGATATGCTGCCTGCTCTTTAAATTTGTCTTTTGACGTCTTATCTGTGATACGCAGGCTTCATAACCTCTGACCCCTTTCAAAATTCCATTTTATTAAGTTCCTCCCATTGTTTTCTCGTTTAGGGCACACGCTTTTTATTACTTTGGGGCCATACGCCGCTTTTCATGGAATGGCACTTCTGTGTCACATTGAAGGTTCCATGATAACCGCCGTATGAACACATCTGCAGATGTTTCATAATTCAAAATTTTACTATTTCATGTTTAAATGTTGAATTCTGCTTAAGCCGGTGCTAGTGGGCGAGGACCATATTTTGCACTTTCCAGTACCGTCCATTAACAGGCTCAATCAAACCGAGCCTGCAACATTTTCAATTTTGACGTGTTGGGCTTTCTTTAGGGATTCTGTATTTATCTATTTGAACTATTCTTAGTTTTCTTTAGGCTGCTAGGCTGCTAGGCTGCCAGAATGCTAGGATGCCAACTTCAGGCTGCTAGGCTGCCCACTTCAGGCTGTTAGGCTGCTAGGCTGCCAACTTCACGAACGTTTAACAGTATCATTAAAAAGTTGCCTTTAAGCATTTATCAGTGGACAGTAAGCAGTTGGCAGTAGGCATTTGACAGTAAGCAGTTGGCAGTAAACAGTAGGCTGTCGTTTATGGAATTCCGTTATTATGAACATATATTTTTAATACCTCGAAGTGCACAAAGGTGAGCTTCTGTGATCACATTGCGTCCGTCGTGCGTTCTTAAAATATAAATGGCGATAACAACTCCGCCTATACATATAGGCCAATATTGTTAAAGCTAAGCAGGAATGTTCCTTTACATAAAGCCCTTTGAAAATAATTCAAAGAATTCCATTTCATGCTATATTTTGGCTGCCATGGCAACCGAAAGAAAAAACTTTCTTGTAAAAAAACAAAAGAGCTAGAGCTTAGATATTTGGTGTTGGATGTCTACCAAGTTTTTTTTCTTTAAATTAATGCCCTAGGGTCAAATTGGCCCTGCCTCAGCGGTCATTAAGTTTCCTTATATGTTTATAGTAAAAACTTAAAAAATCTTCTTTTGACAATCCAAAAGTATTATAGATAAGATATTTGGCATGAATTGTCTTCTAACAAGTTTGTTCAAATAAAGGCTCTAGGGTCAAAATTCGCCTGGCCAAAGGGGTCATTGATTTTCCTTATATGTATATAGTAAAAACTTAGAAGACTTCTTGTGACAATCCAAAAGCATTAAAGATATGATATTTATTTGGCATGAAGCTTCTTCTAGTCGATGACTACCAAAATTGTTCAAATTTATGCCCTAGGGTCAAAATTGGCCCCGTCCCAGAGGGTCATTGATCTTCCTTACATGTATGTAGTAAAAACTTGAAAATCTTCTTGTGACAATCCGAAAGTACTGTTGGTTAGATATTTGGCATGAAACATCTTCTAGTGGATGTCTAGTATTTTTTTTCAAATAAATGCCCTAGGGTCAAATTGGTCATTGTTTTTCTTTATATATTTTTAGTAAAAACTTCAAAAATCTTCTTGTGACAATCCAAAAGTATTATAGATTAGATATTTGCCATGAGACATCTTCTAGTAGTGTCTACCAAGTTTGTTAATCAAAAATACCCTAGGGTAAAAATTGGCCCCGCCCCAAGGGGCAACTGATTTTTCTTATATGTATATAGTAAAATCTTAAACTATCCTCTTTTGACATTCCGAAAGCTCTAATATATATAGTGGATGTGTACCAAGTTTGTTCAATTAAATGTATATGAAAAAAAAAAGAAATATGACTGTAATGTTGTAATGATGTAATATATATATAGGCTGCGGCGTGCCGATTTTTTCATGCGATTTTTCCATGTATAGTTTCCCGCTCATGGCTTTCTTTCATATATTTATCAATACAATATATATGAATGAAACCGAGCCTTGTATATTTCCAACCAGAATGATTTGTTAACCCTTACATTATCACCTTTTATCTAAACTATTATCTATCTATAATTGTAACTGTGTCATTCGACACTGGAGTGTATTGTTACATGGTGTTTTTATTCGATGATTTTTTATTGAATAGAAAAGGGATTTTTACAGTTTGGAAGCTGAAAGTAAGAATATATTATAAGGGGCAGTTATTTACAAAAATAAGGATAGAAAATAATTAAATATTCAATTTTATGCCACCGAAACATCTGCGATGCGGTGACCCCGCCCTGGGTGTCATTGATTTTCAGTCTATACATATAGTTAAAACTTACAGGTACAAGGCTTAGAGCTTTGATATTAGGTATATGATATCTTCGATAGGTCCTCTACAAAACTTGTTCAAATTTTGCCTCTAGTGACAAAATTTGACCATGCCCTGGGCTCAGGGGTTGTAATAGGTTTTGACTTATATGTATATGTTAAAAAACTTGAAACATTTTCTTCTCTGAATTGATTAAGGCAACATATTAGATATTTTGCATGGAACATTGCGTAGTTAATCTCTACCAAAATTGTTCAAATTAAAGCACTGGGGTCAAAATTGGCCCGGGGGTCATTTGTTTTCACTGTGTACATATAGTAAAAACTTTAAAAATCTTTTGTCTGAAAGTTCAAGTCTTAGAGCTTTGATGTTTGGTATATGATTACCTCTATAGATCCTCTACCAAATTTTTCCAAAATTTGCCCCTATTGTCAAGTTTGGCCGTGCTCCGGAGCGGGGGGGGGGGGGTCATAGATTTTCCTTATATGTATATACTTTTTTAGTGAAAAATTAAAAATCCTCTTTTCTGAATTGACAGAGGCTTGAAGTTAAATATTTTGCATGAAATATTTTGTAGTTGACCTCTACAAGATTGTTCAAATTGTATCCCTGGGGTGAAAATTAGCCACGCCACGGGTACATTGACCTACTGTCTTGTCCTTTGATAAATATCTATGAAATTTCAATCATGAGCACAAATTTAGTTATACTAATGTTGTAGCGATGAGACTGTTATGTGGAAATTTCATGGCCTGGGCGACATCGAGGAGTTTTCTCTACAGAAAATGGCCTAGAACACCCGACTGTTTTATGTCATGATAAACATAAATAATTTTTTTGATTAGACATAAAATTCAGATATGTATTTTTGCTTCCCTTATTAGGTTTAATTCCTCACACGAGCCCTCTGTTACTTTTTATGGTACATGTAATTGACCGATTTTTGTTTTTTCTTATTGTTAACCCCATAACCTAAGAGCCAATCAGAAGTAAAGCGGTTGGATGACCACAGATAAATAATTTTATCACATAAACCGCAGCGCAGGAGTGTAATAAAGCCATTTAATAAAAACGATATAACGCTAGACGATATTACACTAGTGTAATAACACTTTGACGTCACGTCATTTGCACTATAAACATAGCGTTAAAGCGCGCTAATGTTAGCGTTACACTATAGGCGCGTCAAAGTAAAATGACTCTTGTTAACATTTTACCGGTCTTATTTTATATATGTGAGAAATAGAATATTATATTCGTGTAGATTCAATACTGAATTTATTGAACTCGTTCGTTGAAGAAAACAATATTATGCTCGACACAGGCTCGCATAATATGATTTTATTCAACTCGTTCAATAAATTTAGTATTAAACTTACACTCATTCAATATCCTCTATGAGACCGACCATTATTACGCTAACCGCCATTTGATCAGCATTTGTTTTAATGGCATGCCAAAAGATGGATTTTAAATGTATTTCAATGAAAACGATAATTGTTATTTTTTTCGGGGAATTGACATTGAATATATATCTTGTATATCTTCTAATAAAAATGTTTATACAGGAAGTGCCTCCTTGCATCAAATTATATTCAGGAAAACGGATTAAAAGAAGTAAGTCCAAGCCCAAGACAAAACTTTTTCTAAACTGTCAGCCATATCCCCAGTAACCCATTATCTTTTCCCAATCTGAATGTATTCGTTGTTTTGGTTGTTTAAGTATGCTTTATCTAAGATATCGCACTGTGCGTTATTATCAATATAGAATGTTACTGGCGTATAACAGCTGAACAACATCGCCACACCATGCGATAAGATGTAGATTGAATTTTGATATCAGCTGACCTAGATTTTGACAAATTGACTCACTTTTTGTCCTTCGATGTACAGTCATGAAATTTTGACCATGTGAAATACTACCTTGATTACAAAAGTCACTAGACTCAACTGCATTTAAGGAAAGTGAAATTGTATGGAAAGTTGTAAACAATTAAAATCTTCTGTTCCCACACTACTATTTAGTGCTGTATTAATGCATTGGCATAGCATGTTTCACAAATGCAATCTTGTTTCTTGTTGAAGTCCTTAAATTGGATTGGTATTAATATTATTTAAAAGATGATTGTTTAATAACAACTGTTTGATTAAATCATTTAATTATATCATGTTGTAGGAGCCTTCATTGAGGTTTAAATGCATTTAAACAGAAAGTTTAAATTCCTTACAAAGATCACATTGTGATCTTAAGCGGAAATGGGTACGAAATATAAAGTCGGAACTCAATTGGAAATCGATTTCTTATCCGATCCTTAGGGTGATTTTGCCGGCCTGAAATTGATCTAAAAGTCGTTCGTCCGGATCACCATAAGGCCAAAATAGAAGTTTGTTTGTTTCACCTTCCTCACCCATTAAAATTAGGGTCGCCTTTTGTGCCTTGTAACACCGCACTTTGGGATCAAACGCAATTTGGGGTCAGACCCAAAGTGCGTTACGTACTTTGGGGTCGGACCCCAGAGTGCGTTTCGCACTTTGAGGTCCAATTTTAACCCCAAAGTGCGTTAAACAGGTACATATGCATTTTTAAACATAAGGCAAACGTCCGCACTTTGGGGTCATAGAAAATTATTGTTCATTATGTTTTAAATAATATATTGTAGTCAAAGTCAATGGTAAACAAAAAATCAAGGTATTAAATAGACACAAACATGTGCCCTGAATTATAGTAGAATCAATAGGGATTTAAATGATCTTGATTAGTAAGTGAAGACCTTGCACCAAATAAATCACCAAAAAAAGAATTTGTATCAACTATTAACCTTAGAATATTTTTTCTCTAATTTTCCATTTATTTTAAAAGAATGTACACCTTTCATTAACTCCATATATTAAGCTAAATGTATTATTTCCCGTTTTTTCTTTACACATTTTATAGAAATAAGATAGTCTTAGCATAGACAAAGGTATAATTCTGGGAAATCTTAGTAAGACATTTCAGTAAAAAATGTGCCTGATAATATGTTGAAAGAGCCATATTTTTTTTAACTAAATGTGACATATAAGAAACTGGATTAGGTGAAGATGCGACTTTAAGTAGTAGTCCGTACAGGCAGTACTAAATATATCAACTATTTAAGTTAGTTGCCACCGTAATTTTGTTATATAAACACAATGTTTAGATATTTCAAGTAGTAAAATTAATGAAACTTTTATCACTTAAGCATCATAAAGTATTGACCGCCATCTTGAACTCCACCTCAAATATTCCAATGTCGCAGATAGAAAATGAGTAAGTACTCAGTATTTAAGCAGAACTAAGATGACACCTTTAGACCTCTTGAACCCAAAGTGTGTTGATATGTAGCATATTAACGCACTTTGGAGTCAATTTCCCGATTTTAACCCCAAAGTGCGTTGGACCCCAAAGTGCGGTGCGAAGTTTAATGCACTTTGGGATCGGACCCCAAAGTGCGTTTGACCCCAAAGTGCGGTGTTACAGTGCCTCCACTATAGGGATGGGTATATTTAACCTGTTTTCATGACCTAGAGTCATGAAACAGTTATGTTAGTCAGCATGTGTAGTTGTGCACCTGGGTATTTGCGTGTGTTTTTATTAAGTATTTGAGTTATTGCACTTGACTTAGCAAAATAAAATATAATATAAACGTGTGTGGCACAACCTCAAAAAGTATTTGAACTTGGGGTTTCGCTTGATTATTCTGTTTTATAAGCGTCATTGCCATTGAATTAGTAAAAATTTGCATTTTTGAATTTTTATCGAGTGAAACTCAAAAAGTATTAATATAGTTAATGTAACTTCACAGGAATGTTTGTCAGCATGTGTAGTTAAGCATCTGGGGTTTAACAAGTGGATTTATTCAGTATTAACTATTAAGTTATTTCACTCGACTTAGTAAAAATTTGCAATTTTTAACTTGGTCGTGTGTAGCTCAGAAACTATCTAACCTAAAGTCATAAAAAATTACAGAAATGATGGTTGGCATGCGTAGTTGTGCACCTGAGGGTTTGAAATTGGATTTATTTAGTAGTTGAAGAATAATATAATTGCCTTTGACTTATTGAAACTTGTTTCATTATGTTATGTTATGTTATGTGTTCCTTGCGTACGTGAGATAGAATCAGCAAACTTATCAGGAAAAATGTTCTACATCACTGTGAAGCTAAGCTCATGGGGTGTTGCATGTGGATTTTTTCATCAGTTTTGTTAGAGATTTTGCCCTTGACTTAGTTGCAATTTTCAACTTGTGCGTGCATAGCTCAAAATGAATATGATCTGTAGGCCTGAAAGTTGGCACCCGTGTCCTATGGACACATTTCTAGTGTAATTTTGACATTTTGTGTAACATTGTTTATTTGAATATTTTATAAAATAGTTTAATATCAAATTTTTCCAGGTAGCTACATGTTTATCTGGCAATATGAGGTTATCAACTAGCATTTATCTTTCTTAATATAGTTGACTATATATTAAATTTTGAACATGATTAAATTATAGTATGGCATAAATTATAGTATGATATATATTCTGAATTACGGAACTTCAAAATTCTAAATTCCGAACGATTTTTTGGTAAATTTTATGTATTATCAATTCAAATTTACTTCCAAAATCCGGAAATTGAAAAAGGGTTGAAACACTATTATACTTGTGAAACTTTAAAAATGTCAATGTCTTCCAATTAACAGTAACCATTTATCTTGACACTTTTTAGAATCACAACCTGTCAATCATGTAAAACTTGATTAAAGTGTAAAAGTGGTATAATGTGATGGATATTAAAACGTATTGCAGGTTAAAAGCAGGCAGGTACTACATGAAATTTACTTAAGGATAAATTG